AATTTTAATATATTATAGGCACCTTCTGTTAATCATTCATATGACAATTTTGAAACGAAGTTTACCATAAATAAATAAAATTGTTTGAGAACATAAATAATTAAAATATGTTGTGGCCAAATGAACATATAGGTAATAGATATTTTCTACACATATATAAATTATTGTAATTTTTTAGTGACGCCTATGAAACTCATTAAATTTTATTGTTAAGCGTTTTTATACATGTTGTTTTCCGAACTGACTTCGGAAAAACTATACATATTGCTTATTTAATCATAGTTAAAGAAGTCTATGATTTATACAAGCTTTATATGGTTTTGGAGAGTAGGAAAACGTATTTGGTAGCTCACTTTTAAATTTAAATATTGAAAGACGTCACTAAAATAATGTGTTTAAAATTAAATATATACTTTGTCCAATAAATAAATTAAATAAGTACCCTGGTAGTAAAATCTTGCACAAGACACTTATACAAGACTGCTGTGTACCTACTGCTGAAATCAGCATCAGGTTTACTGCAAGATTCATCGTGCAATTGTCTTGATCAAAGCTTTCGATGGATTTGATTCAGGACACTTAAGCACAAAGGAGTAAATTAAAGCAAGTGACTATGTTGCAGACTTACATTAGAATTAAGTAAGACATATTGTACTTGACTTATACTAATTCATCCCTTTGGACTCAAGTCCTTTTGGTTAAGTCTGGTGAAAGTATTGTAAAAGTATCTTGCATAAGAAACGATATAAATTTCAGCAATAGACACAAAACAATCCGACACAATTTGGCTATTTCAAGTAAACTTGAAACAACTTGTATTAGAATTGCACACGATTGTGCTACCAGAGTAGGGAGGCTTTTTACAGAGATTGCTTTATATATTTTTAATTTTTACTGACTTCGTCAATTTAAACCTACTATACCAAATTTTCCATTGTACAATTATTATAAGAAAGCCGTTTAATTGATTAGTTTAAATAATATTCCCGTATTATTTAGTTTTAGATATACATAATTCAGAAATGTATATTTTACTATAGAGAATGTGTGTCATTTACTGCATTAATAAATCTAAATTTATTCAATGCTATTTTCCCTTCACTTACGTCGTAACCAGTCGTGGAAAAATATTTCAATATGTAAAAATAGATATTTACACCATAAAGTATTATTTACCAATCGAGAACGATTTTGCGCCCGAGCTGGCAATAGAGTCCGAAACTGGTAAATTATACTTAACTGCTGTGTGGTATATAACATTTTGATCTGCTCGCACAGTTCTTTATGGTGCATGAAATAAAGATTAGGTTTTATTTTTTGACATTTCTTCATTTCATTTTGACATTGTTCCGAATCTTGTAAAGTTGCCTTGGTTGTTTGGATTTATATCGTTTCTAAGGCGTTTATAAACAAAGTTTATAACATAAAAGTTGCAATTTTGCTGGTTTTGAATTATTATTTCTAAATGAGTGATTTTCAAATAGAAAGTGTCCAAATGGTGCCTGCGAATTTTTATTGTCCGAGATGTCGAAAGTCAACTATTTTCGTAGAGAACGTGGATATATTAAAATACCCCAAGCTGAGAGAATTTTTGAAACGTAAGAATGATAGTCCACGGGCCCAGGCCCTTTTTTTCTTTGATTAATAACAAGCTGAATTTTGGGGAACAGCTTCGTTTTGACGAGACGCCCAACTAGCTAATAAAGCGCGGGGGTGTCAAACATGTCGATTTGGTGAATGATCAATATTTATTACTAACAAGTAGTTTTTTACTTAAATCGCATGATAATTGTATGAAAAACTCGAATAAACTTTTGTCCTACACGTTTGATGGTTTTTCCAAAGTGTCTCCCACTCTTAACATGTCAAAATAATATGATCTTAGAAGTTATTAATAACCACCTAATTTTTTCACAGATGCTTGGTAATTATTATTACAATTCATTGACATTTTTGTCCTACACGTAAAATGGAAGGTTTTCCTAGTCCTACACTGGGAAAGTGTCATTTTCACGGGTACAATTTTCTCATTAATAACTGTAGGACAAAGAAACCAAACGATATTTTAGGGAATTTTTAATAAAAAAAAACTATGCCCTACAAAAAAATGAGTATGTATTTCTAGTCCTACAAAAGTTAAGTAAGTTAAGTATATAAAATTATTTAAAATTGAGAATTTCGAAATCAGCATTATATCTTCTTGTGATTATACATGTCCAAACTTCGCCAAAATAATGTAATTTTTGCATCCCAAAGTAGAAAAATAGTTTACTAATCCCCCAGGGAGTTTGAGGAGGGAGAGTGATAAACAAACTTTATCTTTATCAAGCGCGGCCGAAGTAAACCAAAGCGTTTTTTCTCTATGTCATCGAAAAAAGTGTATATTTAACTTTCTATGTACATGTGATCAGTATATGATGCCACAAAGTAGAAAAATAGTTTAGTAACTCGCCAGGGAGTTTAGGGCAAACTACCCTTATCGTGCCAGGTCGAGCCAAACCGATGAATTTTTTTATTATATTTTAAAATCATATGTAAATGTTTTTATACTATGTTGTATTATTTTTAATTTTTATTCTAGAAATTATAAAAAATTTTGAATAAAAGGTATTTTTGAGTATATTAAACACATGTATATTAAACAAAGAAATATACATTTTTATATCAAGTTTAAAGGAGTTACTTACTGAACCCGTTTCAGTAACTGAATACCTTTTAATATATGTTAATTAACTTTAAATTAAGTAAATTAATTAAATTTATATACTTCAAAAAAAATTAATACACAAAAATAGTTAATATGTAGTTACTAATTTTCAAAATAATTAATTTTGCTATTCTACATTAACTTTTACTATTAAAATTATTCAATAACCACGCTCATGTGTGATTGTTCAGTAAACAGCTCCTTTATCTATTGATAAAATAATAAATTTTTGTATGAAAATAAAAAAATGTGAATTTATTACTATAAAATATTATATTATATTGTTTGCAAGCAATCAGAATTACTTTAGAGAATTTTTTTATTTCCTCTCTTTTTTCTCGGAAATTCGGATTATCGCACAATAATTTGCATAAGAACTCCATAGTCACTAAAAAAGCACAAAAACGTGGACGACTGAAACACACTTGATTCTCTCTAAAATAAAACGTGGGCAAACCGCCAAAATAATCCTGATTGGTGCGGGAATTTTGAAATTTTTTATTTTCACCAATGGTGAAAACATTCGATAATTCATAAATTTTAAAAAACTTATTATTATAAAGATTATTGAAAAATTCATTATTATATAGATTATAAATAAGTTTTAAAAAAAAATTATAAACTAATAAATTTTTTTTATCATTTTTATTGAAAATTAAATTGTAAAACTACATAAGTTAGCTAGGGAAAGTTGGTGTGTGTAAGCGTATGTAAGTATGTGTCACAGGTATATATCCTTATGTATATTTATTTATAATACAATTCTCAACATCAATGTACAGTTACGATTTCCAGTATAATTTTATTTGTTTTAATTACTAGCTTCCACTTTTTTTGTAGGACATTGGTAAAATCTTGATTCAAACATTGTTCTCAAAATAAAAAATCGAAAATTAGGTTGTTATTAATGAGAAAATTGTACCCGTGGAAATAACATTTTCCCAGTGTAGGACTAGGAAAACCTTCCATTTTATGTGTAGGACAAAAATGTCAATGAATTGTAATAATAATTACCAAGCATCTGTGAAAAAAATTAGGTGGTTATTAATAACTTCTAAGATCATATTATTTTGACATGTTAAGAGTGGGAGACGCTTCGGAAACACCATCAAACGTGTAGGACAAAAGTTTATTCGAATTTTTCATGCAATTATCATGCGATTTAAGTAAAAAACTACTTGTTAGTAATAAATATTGATCATTCACCAAATCGACATGTTTGACAACCCCGCGCTTTATTAGCTACCGTTTTCGAGAATTTTTGAAGAGGGAAAAGTTGGGCGTCTCGTCAAAACAAAGCTGTTCCCCAAATTTCAGCTTGTTATTAATCAAAGAAAAAAAGGGCCTGGGCCCGTAGACTATGACGGCTATACACCTAAAAAGTCAAACGTTTTTACAAGAGAACAAGTCAACGATTTTCTCGTTCACCCAATAACACATATTTGCAAGGCACCCAATAACACATATTTGCTAATGAAAGTAGTGACGGTATTGCAGGAGCATGCCGTTCTGATGAGTTATGCAAACTTATTTCGGACAACGTCAATTTCAAAAATTTCGATGACATTATTGTAGTTACAATTCCAGATTCTAAAAATGGTATGTCACGTACGTTTACAATTATGTACTTCTCGTCTGGGTTCTATTTCTCACCTAGAAATTCTCAAGTAATATATTAGATTGAAAATTAAAACTAAAATTTCACGCCTTTTAATGCGGTATCAAGCAGGTAGATGTTACAACCAACCAGTCGGCAAGAATGCCCTTTCTATAATTCCTAATAAGATTGCACAGTTTTTTAATTTAGAACATTCTGAAACATATACAGGCCATTCATTCCGAAGAACATCGGCAACGTTTCTGGATAATACAGGAGTTGATGTATTAGCAATCAAGAGACATAGTGGGTGGAAATCATAGATTTATTAGTATAGAAGATAGATCTATGCTGGAAATCAGTCACAATTGCAGAAAGTTATGTTGCTGACAGTTTAAGTAACAAAAATGAAATAGCCAACAGGATTCTTTACAATGACACTTCAATTCCAGGTTCTAGTAGTATGTGTTTTAATGGATCAGTGAGATAATATTGAACGTCCGGTGACTGAAATGGATTTTATAAATGTTACTAAATGTAATGTAATTATTAAGTACTATAAATATTTCGTCATAATAATTAATAAAATGTAATGTTCATCAAATATTTCTATTTATTTGTTCATAAAATATGCATTTATAACTCGAAATCGCTTTTTTCCCTAGGGAGGTAAGTTACCTCACTTACCTCCCGATGTCCACAGCAACCTCCACTTCTACGGTAAAATCCACTTACCTCCTTAAAAACAATGTATTAATAGTCTGTTTCCTATAGTGGGAGCAGATAAAACATTTTTGCAAAAGTAGATACGATTGTTGAATTGACTGCAGTCTGTAGAAGACCGGAATTAACAAATTTGTTAATACAAAATGTTATAGATGAAGACTCCGTTTTCCGAATTATATTACCAAGTGTATTAGCTAGGTTACGCGAGAATTTTTTGTCAAATCTATTAATATTTCGGGGGTGGATATAGTGGAATATGTTGCGATACGTTTAGTTGATATAAACCATCAACATATTTTTGTTTGACTGGAATTTGTACTTCGCTAAAATGCCAAAAAGTCTATTTCTTGAATCTAGAACACTCAGATGAATATGTTGGGCGTTCTTCCAACGCTCATTTGTTTCATTTCTGGCAGTTTCTGGTTGATTTGTCCACAGTGAAATGACACGGAATTTAGAGAAGTAACATCGCAGTTAAAAGTTACATAGAAAAATCCCACGAACTATTTGTGTAATAAATAATAGGTTTGTTTCTGCAGCTCTATCAAACTGTCTTCAAACTATCAGATATACTTGGCCACTTAAGTTGTCATATACTTTCAGCGAGTTTAAGGTCACAAACCAATTGGTCAAACATCTGTGATAGTTTCAAATCGGTCCTCAACTGCTGCAGAAACGGAGCTATTATGTGTGGCAATAACGGTATGGTAGCAGATACATAAATATAATTCAGTTTCCATTTGATACTCACTGTAACTTGGGTCTCCATCTGGGTTGTCGTCTGTAATTTCGGTTATAGTCAGGGGTTCTTTGAGCAATCCGGTGGTTTTGATCCTGATCTTGGGATAATCCGGCGACGGTTCCGGAGGCGGCGTCGGTTCCGCTCCGGGGATGCTCCCGTACTCGGAGGCATTGCTCTCGCCGGCGGAGTTAGAGGTGATTATGCTGTCCGTGGTCTTCTCGGCGGCGTTGGAGGTGTCACTATTAGCGGGCGAGGAGGTCCCTATGTCCGCGAAGTTCGGGGAAAAACTGACCCTCGCCTCCTCATCTTCCGCTTCTATTTTGGTCACTTCCTCCACTATCGCTCCCCCTTCCCCGCCCTCGGCGTTGTCCGGTTCTTCTTTGGTTTCTGCCAGATTGGAAGCCGATTTCGCAACGGTTTCACTAGGGGAGCCGACCGAAGAAGGGTTCGAATGTACTGGGGAGTTTATGACTTCGAAATTGTTTCCGCTTTTGTTCTTCAGAGTTAGCTTGAGGGGGGGTAACGTAGTACGTTCGAGTATTACGTAGGGTTGTTTTATGTGGTGGAATAGATGAGAATATAGGTAGTGCTTTTCCGTAAAGTTAACGTTACAGTCCCAACATCTTAGCGGGCCGAAATCGTCATCAGAATCCACATCTGAAATTAAAGAAATGTTGATGAATCCTCGTCTGATGTAAGGATTTTTGAATTTCTAACTTAATTAATGTGCTCTTATCAAAATCTCAATAAAACTTTATTTAAATTAGTTATTTATTTAAACCGATTTCAGAAAATGCGCACAATAAAAAGTAAATGGTACCTATAAGTTGAGGTTATGTGTCAACGATTCTCTTAAATCAAGATTGTTGATTTTGTCAATCACTTGTCAAAGATCTAATATTTAAAACATAGCATTAAAAGATAATTGCAGCGGATCTTGTATTTGTACAATAGACAAAAACATCACGTTAAAAAAAATAAGAATTTTGTGGAAACAGTTGCGCGAAAATACGCACGTAACTGTTGTAAGTAAAAGTTGTTTTAGACTAATAAAGAAAAATATTTTAAGATGTCTATGTTTGAAGTTATACATTTGTGGTATAGTTTTTGTTTTTATTATTTGTTAAAGTAGAAAGATTAGGCGAAAAAAAAACAAAAAACAATTGTTGTTTTAAATCAAACCATTGGTGTTCCGTCAAATTCACTAGTGGCTGATTCAGTGCACCGTTTCATGGAATTTTTTCTTGATGAATTAAAAAACTTGCCCTAACATGTGCGAAAATCATTATACTTTACAATATCCAATTTTGACTTTCGTTAAAATTTATAATTGTTAATATACAAAAAAATAAAACTGCAATAATTACAGATATTAGACCGAGTATTAGACATAATTGAACTTTATTTAATATTTTGTTTGTTTTATATTTTTTAAATTAAAATATCTTACAATTTGCATTAATATTTAAAAGAAATATAATAATTTTCTTATCTATACTTTAATTAAATTTTGAATAAAAGTGAAACAAATACTATTTCAATCATCATAAAATCAAACTTATGAAATCTGCTTCTGACTGTATTTGATTTACAGTGAAATAAATAATGTACTTTTGTTTCTACATAAATCTTTTTTTATATACATACATACAGTCTTTCAAATAAACTAAATATAACGTGACTCTAAGGGCAATCAAGCCCGGCTTTAGGAGGGGGTACGGGGACTATAGCCCTGGGCCTTACGACATCGGGGGGCCTCGGCAAGATCTGACAAAATGAAATCAAGTGTTTAGGTTTTACTTTTTTAGAATTAAACTAAAAAGTGTTCAGGTTATAAAATTTTATTTCGGCAAGTAGCTGACTGCGTGACCTTTTTTTAGAATCAAATCAAAAAATGTTTAGGTTTTAAAATTTTATATCATTTTTTTTTGGAAAAAAGGTATCACCATAGGTTATTCCTCGCCTTTAATACAATATTAAAAATATGATGTTCTTCTATGAACTAATAATATAATCTATCATCATTTGTGTCAAAGGTACAGCGCGTTAAAATATCTTTTTTTTTAAATTTATATTTTCCAAAAGTGATCGACAAAGCATATTAAATTTATTTAAGTATTCACCTAAGTCTTTTTTTATTATGGTAGATATGTGCNAATGTACGGTTATTACAATTTATCATTTTTAATATTATTAACGATTTAACGTTTTATAATTTATTATGTTAAATAATACACAGTTTTAGTATTTCAATTTATTATTCAATATGCAGTTGCGTATAACCAAAGTTTACATAATAAATGTAAACTTTAGTGTAAATATAAACTTTGGTGTAACCTAGGTAGGTACTTGTTTTTGAGAAAGTAATATGTTTTTTACCTGTTTAAAATGTCAGCACGAGTAAAACAGCGTTCATCCGTCCAGCGCACTTTGTTTTAAAAATAAAAATAAAGTTAGCGTCTGCTGCACTTCGATTTAGCTTAATAAACGCTTTAAATTGTTCATGGTTTTGTAACCGTGTGTAGTGTAGTTTGTATATTTGAGTATTTAGTAGTGTGCCGACTTTTTTATTTGATAAAATGCGGTATGCCTACAAACAGGTAACTACCTCTGCTTTATTTATTTTCTTTTAACGAAAGTTGACTTCGAGAAATCAGGCTTGTTAAAACATTCTGCACTAAGTTAATACAATTGTTCAAATTATTTATAATAAAATGCAGCATGCTCCTTTATTTACTTGAATACTTTTAACAGTAAATGTGAACCACACATTATGATGTGAACTTGGCAAC